CTGGGCACAGGCTGGGACATTAAACCAGCAAGACAGGGTCCCTGCCCTCAAGGGGAAGCAGTCTCTGTGTGTGTATTTGTGGATGTGAGCATGGTGTGCTGTGTTGGTGTGAGTATTTGTGTGTGTGTGTGTGTGTGTGTGTGTGCATGTATGGTGTGGGAATACTGGGGACCTGGTTGTCCTATGACAGGGAGAGTTACTGACACACTAACAGGTGCATCCTACCCAGTGAAGATACGGTCCATCCAAAATGCCTGCAGCACCTCTGCTGAGAAACACTGTACCAAATAATTACAAATATATGTGCTTTTTCCACTTAATTTTGCACTGTACGCATTTCCCCAAACCATGAACATTCCTTTCTTTAATAAAGACTCTTGCTTATAAATCTTTGCCTACACTTCTCCTTTTTCAACCCTAAAAAACACAAACTTTTTCCTGCATTATTCAGTTCACCGAATAAGCCTACAAAGTAGATAGTTGACCTGTGTTGGAAGGACAGCACAGCGAGCTTCAGAGAGGCCAAACACTCTCAGGTCATAATTATTCTAAGTTGATCCTGCAGGCTCAGAGGTCAGAGGTCAGAGTTCATAAATGTGTTTTCTCTCCAGTTTTCCTAAGTGCCTCCTATGGCAATGGGAAATAGGAGTGTTTGTCAGTGGCTTGGAATGGTCCAGGCCCCAGCCATGACTTCTGAGTTGAATCAAGTCATCTGACATCCATGGTTGATTAAAATCTTGGAGTCAAGCCTTAGAAAGACTCCAAGAACCCAATTCTTGAGTCCAAAACTCAGATTCCCAGACTTGCGGAGATCTGGACTCAGAGAGCACTGAAGCTTTAGGATCACACACTTTCAGAACTAGAACTAGACTAGTCCGGTCCTCTGGAAATGAGGCACGGCAAGCCAAGGTCCAGCGGCCACTTTGCCTGGGGACCCCTCTGTCCTTCTCCCCTCCCTGCCCCTCCTCCCCACCCTCATCTGCCCCCTGGCCTCTCCCATGCCCCCTTACTTTCCTCACTGAGCATGCCCCAGCCCGTTATCCAGCAGGACGAGTTACTGGGCAGCTGCATGCCAGGAGCTGGGAGGCAGGAGGGGATGATGTGGGAGGTGACGTTCACAGGAAAGAGCAGCTGCAACATGGCTATGTCATTCCCAAAAGGGTGAAATTTATCAAAGTCTGGGTACACGATAATCTGGCTCACAGGTAACTTCTGGGTGTGCCTGGTGTGCTGGTACAGCTGGGTGTTTCCTAACAAAACCCGGTAGTTCTCCAGGACGTGAGATTTTCTGCAGGAGGAAGGGTGCGTGGTCACCATCATGTCTGAATGTGAGCCAGCTCTCTTTCCCTGCATCCTCATCTAACTGCCCACCCCTCTACCCACCAGGATGCCAGGCGGCTTTTGTCTCCCCATTTCTAATGGTCAGGAGCCCTTCTTTCTTGAGGCTAATTGATACTCTACTTACAACGTCAGCATATGGCTTCTCCATCACACCCATGAATTGTCAATGAAGTAGATGACTGCCTAACACCATACACAGAAATAAACTCAAAATGGCTTAAAGACTTAAACAGAAACCAGAATCTATAAACCTCTTAGAAGAAACCATAGGCAACACATTATCTCACATACATCTCAGCAATGTGCTCCTAGGGCAGTCTACCCCAGCACCAGAAAGAAAAGCACAAGCAAACACACACATGGGACCTAGCTGAGCTCACAAGCTTCCGCACCGCAAAGGGAACCATAAGCAAAACAAAAAGACAACCTACTGAATGGGAGAAAATATTTGCAAACGATTCGACTGACAAAGGCTTAATTTCTAGGCTACATAATCACCGCATACAACTTAATAACCAAAACACAAACACCCCAATCCAAACACGGGCAGAAGACCTGAACACGCATTTCTCCAGTGAAGACAAACAAATGGCCAACAGGCACACGAAAACAATGCTCAATATCTCTCCTTATCAGAGAAATGCAAATCAAAACTAGGAGGTATCACCTCACACACACAGTCAGAAAGTTCATCATTCAACAAAAGTTCACAAAGAAGAAACGCTGGAGAGGCTGTGGAGAGAAGGGGGCCCTCCTACACTGTTGATGGCAATGCAGTTTGGCGTAGCCGCTGTGAAAAACAGTTTGGAGATTCTTCCAAAGACTAACTAAACCTAAACTT